TTATTCTCTTATGTAAATCCTCACATTTTTTCAGCAAAACATTAACAAAAATATTAAAATATCCACATCATCCTAATATATATTCCAATGCAAATAGTAGTTTGTTACCAAAACAAATTAAGATTTTTCCCACACTATATCCGACTGTTATACTAATCTTAAGCTTTATAACTTTAACTATACATTCTTTGGAACATCTAAGGCACATGTGCTCTAAATATAAAACATATGATCCTCAAAGGACTTTAAATAAAAATGAAAAGTAAATGATTAGCTGATCTAAGATCTAACACTATCATAAAGAGAATGTTTTATTTTGTTTGTCTAAACAACATTCAAAAAGTTTTGAATAATAAGATGCCGATATTATTAGAATCAGTAATCATTAAAGAAGCTGGCTTATATCTAATCTCCAATTTAGTGTCGCATAGGCAAAGTGAAATCTATCTAAATGAATCATTTCTCTATTATTTTGCATTTTATCTTAACAAAATTTAGTGATTTCTTCATCAAGCAACTATCAACAATATTTTAAATTTTGTTTTAGTAATAAAGTATAAAGGATTAGTAACAATTTATCAAAATTATTCAAATTTCTATATTAAATGCATCCAAAATTTGAAAGATGGTAACAATTTCAGCTTAGTATTGAAATATGTCAAAATTGAGTACTATTAGAATGAAATAGCAAAAATGTTGCTATACTAATTACCTGAGAGAAATTATCATCGGAAAGAATGAAAATGTTAACATTTTTCACAAAATTTGAAACCTGAAAAAGAATGTTTGTATTATCATTGTTCTCAGAGGCTTTCTTTAACCCTGGACGACAAGAATGCTAACACTATAAATTAACTATTTAAAATATATAAGAACATATTGCATAACTAACATAAAATATAGTCACATGATATAACAAACAACATAAGTTCTACATATATTAACAATAAAGGATTAACATTAGAAAAGTCCATTTGATAATTGTATTAACTATGTGCCAATTGTTTGCCTTAAAGCATTATAGAAAATAGTTTTATAAAAAGTATAAGTCATCAAAGTTACTAAAAAATAGCTTTTAGTTCATATTTCTTATATTATAGTCCATAATATAAGAATCACATTTCTTTATATAATTTTTTTTCCCAAACCGAATCACCAATTGATCATAAAAAAAATAAATATAAGACTAGAATTTTTGTTGGCACACTTAAAAACTATTTGAATATGATAAAATTCTCATATCACTTGCTTAATAGTTATAAACAATACCTTTATATAACTAAAAATTAATAGCATTTTCCCTTTCACTTAAGTCCATTAGATTTATATGGTACACATATAAACCAATTCAAATTCCAACTTGTGAACAATACTAATCACTTTACTTCCAATAAGACCTAATCACAACATTAAAAGTAAAAATAAAAAGTTTCAAACACTTCAACTCCTAAAAAATATTGACTTTAATTATATTTAAAATAGTTTTACGGATGAACTCTATATCTAGTTATTATTAAGAAAAATGTATCATTTTAACATCAAATATGTAATTATCACGAGTAAATACTGTTATCATTAGAGATGTTTTAGATGTTACGGACAAAAAGTATGAAAATCAGTATAAGCATAGCCATCTAGAGTGAGTTAGTAAAAATATGAAGAATGCTAAAGATAAGCTTGCAATCATCCAAAAAAATTACATATTTAAGTTGTCAAAACTTTTTTTTCTAGAGTCAAGTTATTCCTAGCCTTAATAGATTGACATAAAAGCATCTAAGAAGCTTGCTAAAGATAAAAAGTCACTAGTCTACTAAGATCAATAACATTTCTAGTTATTTCGTTAACTTTTTTGCTTCAACATCAAGTCAACAACAATAATATTCTTAAAATTTACTTATAGTTATCTTATGTGTTAAAAATTAAATAGAAATTATTTGTAATCAAGGACTAGGCTTTTCAATTGCTATACTAAACAAAAAAAGTAATTTAAAATAATGCATAAAGCTATTTATTTGTAGAAACATCTAACTCATTAAATTACAAATCCCTTAATCTACCTCTAATATAATTTATTTTTTATTTCTAGTTTATATGTTGTTGCTTTATTCTTGTTTCTATTACTTAGACTACCACAAAAATATACAATATGATAAGAATAAAAGCAATACTTCACACCTAAAATGAGTGCAATTTCAAGTAAATAATTGCTAATTTCATAATTTAACAGCAAATTACCTTTAACTAGCACAGGCTTATGAGAGTTTTTTGAAAGAAGTTATTGGGGTCTGATTTGATCTTTACAAAACTACATACCATTTTAGCTTCACAACTTTCAAAATCTTTTAAAAAATTCTGAACTAAACTCTATTTCAAATAAACCAACTTAACATTATTTGAAATTATAGTAACGAAATAGTTTTTTGATGTTTCAAAATCTTTTTCTTTTGATAAATTTTTCTTTCCAAACTTAAACTTTTTTGTTCTTCCCAAAGATTTTTCTCTTTTGAACTAAAAAAAGATCATCATCCCATCTTGGTTTTTAGCATAATATGTCTTAAGCAAGTCGGAGGCTTTGATTCAGTTTATTTTTTTTTTCAAACTAAAATAAAGCCTCTCATCACAATTTTTTTTTTTTTTTATGTTAGGTGAAGAAGGTTATTGTCATTAACATATTTGCCTATAATGTTAATAACATCATGTTAAGAGATTGGTTTGGTAATGTTTTTACCAATAGATTTAAGAAATTTAATGAGTGATTTTGATCCCCAACAGAAAAACTTCAGTTTCATTGATTTGACATTTTTTTCAAAGTAACAAAATTAAGTGGCTTCCTATTGTGTTCTTCAAACCAAAACACTGGTGTTGCATTTTCATTCATATTTAATGCTAACTTTCACAATTTAAAATTCTTTAATTAGACATGTACAAAAAAAAAAAGCTTTAAAATGAAGTGTATTCATTTTCAATGAATAAAAAGGCATATGCTTGATTATCCTAAACATTTACCATGCCTTGCAACTGGTGCAAAAGATAGCCATGTTTAGTAATAAGCATGAACAAAGTGGTAAAGTCTTTACTTATGTTGAAGCTGTTATATTTTGGGTTATTCAATCCTTTAATAAATAGGTTGCTCATGCTAAAAGTTAACAAGCTTTGTGCTGATTCAATTCTAATTGCAACATGATTCCCAACATATACAAAATAGTATTGGACATGAAAATCATTTAATTAGTAACAGGTGTTGGACAATTATAAGAGAATAAGTCCACTAAATGATTACATAAAATAGGTAGAAATAGTAATATTGAAACTGATGTATGATAAACTGGTCATACAAGAGATTATATGTAAATATTCTGTAAGAAAATGTTAATGCAAAAATGACTATAGACAAGTAAAGCAAAGTATTATTATGTATAAAATCAAAATGTGCACAAACATGTAGTCGATACTTAAAAATAAGAATGATTTAATTCAAGTATATACAATAGAAGAGTGATTGTTTTTTGTAAACAAAAAGCTATAAATTTCAGTGATAATTTTTTGATTTTATAACAAAATAATTACAGTACTGGTACTACCTTTTTTTAATTAAAATATAGATTATAAAATACAAAGTAAAGCCCTTACTATTTCTCTATAAATATTATTATTACAATAATAACAATATAGTTTTCTTAGTTGTTTCGTTTTCAAAATGGCAAATTAAGTTCATTTTATTTGAAAATTAATAACAAAATTAGATATTTTATGTATCTTTTGAAACAAAAAGAAAGAAATGGGGAATTACAAGGCCTTCACCCTTTTTTTTAATTCTCTATTTTCTTTTTGAATTAATAATAAGAGGAATGTAATAGAATAAAAGTAAATCATTCAAGAATACTCGTTTTCTTGTATTTGATATTTGTGCTTTTGAATTGACGATGTCGTTTTTTACTTTATTTTTTAACAAATAGAATATCATGTCCCTAACTGAGAAAAAATGTAAAATTATTAAGCCTTACCGTCTTTGGATTTATTTGTCTCCCATTAACCCTAAATAAGTAGACAATATGGAATTATCAAAGCCTTACCAAACATGATTTTGCCATAAATAATTATCAATATGATTAATCTAGGACTTTGGCCATCAAAGAATAAATAATTGTCTATGGTGATTAATTTAGGATAAAATTTGTCCAAAGTAGTCAACTAAGTTTGGCTCAAATGGCATGGGGTTACTGCATCAAGTTGTCAGGTTTCGAGGCGTAATGCCTTCCCATAAGTAAGTAGAGTAAGTATTCTATAGCTAATGAGGTCGGGTGGAGTCAAAATAGCCAACTGAGTTCGACTTAAACGACATGAGATTGCTACACCAAGAAGTTGCCAGTTTCGACATGTAATGCCCTTTATAGGTAAGTAAAGTAAATAAATTATAACTAATGGGATCGGGTGAAGTAAAGGGTAGATTATAAATTTTTAAAAATTTTGTCCAAAGTAATGTCAATCATAATTAACATCATCTTATTTTAACATGAAATCTAATTCTCGTTGACTTAATGCAAGTAAATTAAAAGTAGGACATTTCCATTAAAATGAAAAGGAACATAGAGGATGAAGGCCCGGGGAGATGGTCGAAAATCCTTTTACATGGGAGTGGGGAGAACTATAGGAGGCTCAATCCGTCGTGATTCATAAATGTTAGTATCGTTCCAAACAAATGTGCATCAATTGGTCAAAAGAAAACTACAAAATTGACATTTTTTATTAATTTTAAGGAATTCTTGAGTTTTGCCTAATAGATTTTCATTTTGGATCAATTTTTGATTTATTTTTATATTTATCAAAGTTTTACGAGAATTTAAATTTTTAATTAATTCATGTAACCATTTTTAATAAATATATTTAATAATTTTAAAATTTAAATATTAAAAAGCACATGGAAAAAAACCATAGTAACAATTTGTTATCTGTTAGAAAAGTTGGATCGGGTGGAGGGCTACTATTGGTGGGGAGCAACAAATAGCAATGGTCGCTGATGCAAAATATAAAAATCTGATAATATAAAGAGCATCTTCTCGATGTTTTTGTCTCTCCATATCTCGCCATCACAGCCACCATCACCACCACCGGCCGTGGCCACAGGAACGTGCTCTTGAAGGTGGGGTCTCTCTCTCGCCTCTATCGGCATGTATGTATTTATATATTTATTTATATTTTATACGCGCTTTTTTCTTTTTATTTTCCTTTGATAAAAACGAAAGCAAATCTCACAGCACGTTTATGGCATAAAAATGGCGGTGGGTCCGTCTTGTTTTAGCTTATCTCTAGCTAGAAACTAAAAGCCAACTGAGATTTTTACAGTTTGGTTTGCTTCGATTTTTTGCTTAGTTTGGTAGAGCTGGTTTTTCATTGTTTTCATTTCTTTTTGGGGTTTTCTTTACCTTACCTCTCAAATAAACAGAATGGGTTGTTTTTTGCTGCCTTGGTTTAGCTTACGAAATGTTGAATTACTAGGGAATTTTTGCTTATAGTGAAAATTTCATTTATTTATCATCTGGGGTCTTTTTTGATTGATAAATTTCGTTAACGAAGGCTGATGAATACAGTTAATTTTGATTTGGCTTTATCAGAGTGCTTGTGAGAATTCACTGTGTGGTTTTGTTTTGAATGTCACATTTAATAATACCCTTTGCTAAAGAGATTTTTGAAATTAGGGTTATAACTAGCTTGCATGCAGGTCAATCGCTTCAAATTAGCTTTTTTTTTTTTTTGTGATTACTTTGAATTTCTTATAGGGTTTAGTTCAGCAAAAGTGGAGTTTTACTTGAATGAACTTATCTGCCCAGTATATGACTTCAAGATTGATGACTTGCATATAACAACTCTGCTTTCTAAATGATGTTTTCTAATTGTTTCAATCTTTCCGCACAAAGGTCTTATAATATATGTTAGTTGATGGATTTCTTATTTGTTAGGCTTGGTATTCTTTGTTGTTCCTTTTTGTAATTTTATTTGGTTAAAAGATAAAGAATCATTTGTACTGATATTAGGCTTCTTATATAGATGGACAAGTTGATTATTTTTTGCTTGTCAAGAATTATGATGTCAAGTTTCAGTTTTGACAGTTTGTAGGCACCGGTACTAGTCATTTAGTGTCAAACAAATTTTACAGTTGCACGATTTTTGTTACGAGCAATTGCTTGTCCTTGATGACTGCTAGCAAGGAATGAAGCTTGTTTTATTGCACATAATCTGCACTGCAAATCCATTTTTACGAGAAAAGGAGAATAGAAAAAGATTTCAAATTTCATTATTCTACCATGTTCTAACTTTCACTTCTGGAGCTAAACTGGAGCTGTTGGATTACCAGCAATTTAGCATAATAATTCTGGTTGCAAGGTGGAGAAAGTAATCTTTTGGTTGTTGCTACTAATTTTGAAAGAGTTTGGATAGGGAGAGAAATAGTTCAGCAAATAGCAAATAATAAATGGAGCGTCAAGGAATTGGATCATTGATTTTCAGTTATCTATTCTTTTATTCTAATACCACAAACAGGGATTAGTAGAATCCTTTTTCGAATAATTGTGTTTCTTTAAGCATTATTTCTTCCGCTTTTCTTGATATTTTTGTTTTGGTGGTCCAGTGCCCCTTTTGTGACAGCTGGGTGTTGGGACATGCACCTTTTTTCCTTTCGTTGCATGAGAATTAATTACTTATTAGGAAGACGTAGGCTGATTGGTAGTCGTGCCTCTCCACAAAGGAGGTTCCAAGTGATCATTGGCAGTCTTGCATATGATTATCTTGGCAACTCTCTTATGTCAGAAGTGCTCCGCTATCAGTCTTTTCTTTTCAAATAAAAATGAAAGGAAGATATTATTTGACTGTGAAATAAGGTGATATTTTTTACTATGCAATCTTAAACTTTGATTTCTGATGAATAAGAGTCAGTCAGAAAGGCGACTCAATTTGTTGAAACACCAAATCATGTGATTTGAGATATAGTATGGAGCAAAGGAAGTGAAAAATGCTTGCTCGTTGTCAGCCAATAAATAACATATTTAAATTTACTATGTTCTCATGGGTTGAGAATCTTCTGTTTTGTTTCTAATTGAGGTCTTGGCTATTTGAATCAATATAGTTAACATCACTTAGTGTGATCAATGGGCCATTTTACAATTTTATGAACCATTGTCAAATATGAGTTGATGCTTTTCATTATCTATTCTTTATTGAAATTGACTTTAATTTCCTGTACTTAACTATTGCATCTATTTATTCTTTGGTTTAATTTTCCTGCAGGTCATTCCTATGCACATCATGATATAGTGCGAGAATATAATGGCTTCTACAGGACCAAGGTCTAAGCTTGAGCATTAGACAAGAGCTAGGCATCAAAAGGTAATAGCATCTAAGGTTTTATAGCACTCTTTTCTGGTCTGTTATATTGTTATTATTGTTGTTAGTGTCATCATGCATTATGCACACACATGCACATGCTTAACTGTAAAGAAGTTTAAAGATGAAATATTTGTGGAGGCTCAGGTATTTTAAGAGTGAATTTATATTAAGTATGTTCTTAACTTTCATTGACTTTTGTTGCGTCTTAGTCTCAAGAGGATAAGTTGTTGTTCCAATTGAGAAAATATTATATTAAAGCATTGATAATTGATAACTAATTAGATGTGTTTTTCTTAGCAGCTTCTTGTAGTTATCTTGTGGTATCTAGAAATAAAATATTTTATCTAGTAACTACACGTCTAAAACCCTGATAAGTTAAACAATACACATCTGCTTGTTATTATGTTTACCCCAAAGGGTTAAGTTCTGAAGCTTGTTTCCTTTTTCTTCTTGAAGTTCTGAAGTTAGTTTCAATTAACAGGATGCCATGTCTGTTGCAAGAAACATAATCAAGAATCCAAAACTTGTTCCTGGTGGCGGTGCGACAGAGTTTAACAGTTTCTGCCACTTTGAAGCCGAAGAGTTCATCTGTTGAAGGCATAGAAAAGGTGTTTGATGCATTAATGCTTAACTTTGATGAGTCTAGAGCTATATGATTATGAATGCTGACCTTTCTTGATATTGAATTCGTTTGGTTATTTTTTTTCTTCATTCATTTCAAAATAATCAGTTATTTACAGGAATGCCATTTTCGTTCTGACTAAATTTACTGCAAAGAGCGAAGCTAAATTCAGATTTTCAAACCCCTTGCTGACTGTAGCCATCTCACTCTGACTCTCTTTCTCTCAGCTCCCCAGTAAAGGCATTTTTCCTTTATTTTCCACCACTTTCTAGGCAGCTTTCCTGGAAAAAAAATCTGTATCAGGTAAAAAATATTCGCCTTCTGTTTCCACCTTATGCACATTTTTTTTTCATTAATATTCTTACTCCGAAATAAGAAAATAAGACTAAAAGGTCACGCCTTGTCGTTTAAACTATTTTTTTTTTTTAATTTGGAGATTTTACTTTCTTTTGTTTTCCAACGGTTCTGAGCAACCAAATAGGGTTTGTGAGAAAACGTAATTCAATTTTTTTTTTGTTTTTAATTTTTTTCTTTGGTGTGTGTGGTTCTTAAGGTGAAGTAGTTTTAAGGTAAGAAGATATTGAATTTGATATTTCAAAAATTTTATCATTATTTGTTTTATATTTTTACTCTATATATGCTTTTTATCATAGAGCAGTTGAGGGCACAGAACAAAGCAAAAACAGTGCTGAGCTTCAAATCCTTTCTCCTTCCTTTGGAACTTGGAAGCAGCTATTTGAGAACCCTATCTTCCCTCAAAATGAACAAGAAGCAGCCGCTGCAAATCATTCATATTCCACCCAATCCACCCGTTCCACCCACCCTCCAACCCACCGGTCAGCTCATCCTTTCTCTTTTCTTTTCTTCTTTTCTGTAATTCTTTAACTGACATATACATTGTACAGTGAATGTTTATGCTTCCCTTATTGAACCAAGACATGCCAATACTCTTATAAGGTAAGGTTTACCCCTGTTTCTTCTTTATTATAGTTTATTCATACTATTAATTACTAACAAGTTTGGAATGGAATGATAGATGGCTTAATCAGATAGCTCCACTTCAAAATCTCCATCATTTAAAGCGGATTCACAAAAGGAATCTTGAAGGGGGTTAGTAATACTGTGCCTATTTTCTATTCTTGGACAATTCTTTCACTTTGCTTCAACAAACCTTCATTCCAATGTTCATAATAATTCCTATTCCCGAAAATCTTGCTGCATTCAATTATTGAAGGGGATCAAATTCTCTTTCAAGCATGTGGTTGTGATAATTGGTTTATGTGACAGGAAAACCAGAATTATCTGTTATATTATGTTTAGCTTCTGAAAGTGAAACACAATCCAACAGTATGCCACCAGATGTGCAAGAGATTGTGAATTCCTACAACTTGACTCCTTTTATTACAAAAGTGAGTCATCCTTTTTTTCTTCTTTGTCTTGTAACACTATTTTATCTAAGACCCATTTTTTTTCCTACCAGTGGGTCATCTAATACAAAAGGGGTGTGCATAACAATGAAAAATAACCTAGCCTAACTGCTCTTTCTTGATGCACAATGGAGGTGCCGAATATAAACTTTAGATTGGAAAAGTCTTTTATATTGCTTCTCTTTCCTATAGCTTTTCTTTTGCCATTTTGTGCTTTCTTTGCAATGGTTGATGTTTCAAAGCTTAGGAAATAGTTTGCCTCATTTTATATTTTGTTTCATTGTTTCTTTTGTGCATGTGTGTGCACCTCTATATGCACCTCTCTCTTTTTCTGCTGTCTTCTGTTGTTGTTACTATTATCATTGTCACATTTTGCATTTTTAAGTTATTCCTTGTGAATTTGCTGTCTATTTTCTATTTCTTTTGTTGAATATTTCATATGACTGAAATCTGTGGAGGTTGGAAGTTCTTTATTCAACAATTTGACCTTACCCTTGACATTTTCGGGTAATTATTTTTATTTGAAGTTTCCTTCACTGAAGTCATGGCTCTTTGGACCTCCCTTAAGTTCTTGTTATGATTTTTCTTTTGACATATTACCTAAATGACTTTTAGGTTAGCAAATATGCTGCATTATCAAAAGAGGAATGGCAAGAACAGTGCAAACTATGGCCAACCTCATATCATCCACCAACCTAGTAAGCCTTATATCATTGATCTACTTTTGGCTTTTTCCTTTTTAAATTAAAACCAGGTAGCCCATGTTGATAAAATCTATAAAACATCAATATGAAGCTGAAAAAGAGCATGCATCTATAGCCGTTGTTGAGAAAGGGTGTGAATGGGTGCTCAATGTTCACTTTATATATTTTAATGACCTATTCATATTCATTCCCCTTCCCTCCTTGCTCTCACTGTCATCTATTTTGGTGCAAATTTGAGGACTAGAGGAGTTTTTTTTTTTTTTTCGTTCAAGGTCTTTAAGTTAAATAAGTGTTTGTCTCTTGGAATCTGGCACAGTCTAAACAGATGCTTTAAAGTTTGGGCTAGCGACAAGTTAACTCCAGCAGTAGGGAGTAAAACAACTTCTTAAGTTTTAATCAGAAGCTCTAAAATGATGTTCAATCTTTTAAAAAAATTAGCAATTTTTACTTAGGGAACTCCCTTGAGATCTATATGTTGTGAACTGCAATAAATTTCATCCACATTAAGTACTTGAAATATGCTCTTACTTTGATAGTGTGAAAGCATAGCTTAAAAAGTATTTTTGTTGTATTTTCTTATGCCATTTATTTATTCAGGAAAATGCTTTGCATAGGATAGCAAATGTAATAGAATGGAGATTATGTATTTATTCAAACAAGGGGATATGATAGTGGGTTATAACCACATTTAAAGGCTGGCTTCGATTGCATGGGAAACATTTTGAGCAGCACATTGTCTAGTACATTTTGTTGGAGGGGGTTTCAGAGTAGGAAATTTTGTTTGGATTCTGAAATGTTTAAGTTGTGATTTTCTGTGGAGCTGAAATTATTTTCTCTCATTCAACTTATTTTTTATGCCTCTCACAAGCTGTAATCCTTTATGTTCTCAATACTATAATGTATTTCTTTATATGCTCTTTTTTGGGTTATCTGCAGCAATATTGATGGCATTACTGGGTTTAGTGAAGAGGATGCTAAATCAGTATTCAGCTTTATGAAGTCTACTGTAGAGTTGGCGAAATCTGGTGATCATTTGGTATTATTTTAATTGTTTTCTCATGCAATGGTTTTATTGTTTAAGGATATGTATCAGATAAGCTGCCACTTCATGAACTCCAGTCCATTTATAATAGCAGTGCCTATATGCTGTCTGAAGTAGCTTCTATAAATAATTCTGAATAGAAGGGTTGGTTCATAGTGATTTCTAGCAGGCTAACAGTATCAGGACCTATAATTGGTTCTCATAAGTCAGCTTAAAGAGAACGTAAGGTGCTTGATCTAGAACAGGTATACTCAAATCGAAAAACTCAAGCAATAATCTGAATTTAGCATTTAAATCCTCAAACATATCAATAATTCAATATCAAGTATCTGAAATCTCAATATCCCAATACTTCATTAATCCAAGCCTCTTAGAAACAGAAATAACCTGGACATTTATAAGTAAACCCTAAACCTAGTAAAACACAAAGTACCAAATAAAACACTAAATACTTGAAAAATAAGTAAAATACTAATTAATATAAATAATCTAAAATAACCTAAATATATGTAAGAATTAGCATCAGTCCCATAAAAAGTAAATTCCTAGATAATTTGTTCCCTCAATTACCATATTTCCATCCTTAACCAGTGCTAAGGCTCGAATGTAAGATCTGTACCCAAGCCCACCCTATAGTGACCAACCTAAGACTTGAGGCTTCACTTTATATAGTTGGTTAGTGGGGCTAGACTAATCTTTGTAATGCTTTGTGTTGCAGAAGGATCAAGGAAAGACAAGACCAAGTGTCAAAAACATACATAATTCTGGTCTCTATTCAGTCTTTGGCTGGTTCAGGACTTTATAGTGGCTACAATAATTATAGTAATTCTTAGATTTTTGTGTCTTTAAGTAGTATTTTGTTTTTTTATTAATTTTGGTTAATTTTAGGAGATAAGGCCTTTTTAAGTTTGGTGGTGTTGCCACATTTCTTTTGGTGAACTTCTTTGTATGGATGTACTGTTCTGCTAAGGCCTAAGAGTTCACTAGTGAAGAGATTTGATGCATGCGATTATTAATGATGAATTGTCTTTAGCTTCTTATGAAATTACCTTAGGACAGGTTTATGAAAAGTGCTTTTAACTCCTGCTCTGTCACTTACATGAATTTATCATTTTTCAAATCTTAATATGGTAACATGGTTGATTGCATTCTTATCAATGTCATATCAATATTAAAACTGGCAGAAAATTGAGAGAACAAAGAAAACTAAAATAAGGAGAAGAAAAACTCAATAGTAACCTCAAACCTCTGATCTCATCTCTGCAATTCAAAATTGTCAATGATCGATAGTAACAGATGTTGCAAAATAATTTATGCATATGAGCTCTACCCTAATATAAACCTCATATAGTGGAACCTGAATAAATAAGGTCAAGCAATAAACAGTCCTATTTCCTAAATTTTCACCTAAGGTAAGTATGCCTCAAATCCTTTTCTGGTGGTATTCCATCCCTTAGTTTCTGTTGTTTGCGGATATTATGTTGTTCTCATCTAAAGCTGTGTTTCTTTGCAGGTCGTCAATGCTGCTATAATTGTTGATCCATTAGTTAGGCAGATAATTGCAAGTGCATGTGATGAAGTCTGTTCTTGGCATATGCAATCAAACAAAGCAAAGACTGAAGCCTGCTATTTCAAACAGTTGGAAGCATTCACTGCTCATGCCGATGCTAACAGGATAGCAAGAGATATAAGTTTACTTTCAAATGGATCGTCCAACAATCTCCAAAAATGTTGCACTGCTGTTTCTTGTTTAAACCCTTGGCTGTGGGCTCAGAAATTAATGCATAGAAGTCCTTCTTATTGGCACCCATTGCGACATGCTGCCATTGTTGCTATTGAAGCTTCTGCTGCCAGGGACAGACATTTGTTCCCTGGTTCTGGGCACAATGGAAACTCTTATGAAATTGATTGCACTCATTCTTCTTCCTCAGTTTCTCCGGCAAAGAGACAAAGGATCAACCTTGCAAATGTGAGTTGACATTCTTCTGCATATATTGAATTTTCACCGTTGTAGTCAATATAAACAGAGCTGAATGTGGTAGCATATCCTTCAATGTTGTTTTAGAATACTGCTGGAATCGTCTGCTTGCCTGTATGCAGAAAAAGGTTAATGTGTAATGATTTTTTAGGTTCGTTTTAGATTTAAAAGAATGTTGATTGACGCAGTTTGTTGCAATATGTTTGTCATTCGGGAAGAAAGATGCAATTGATATAGCTGTATGTGTGGGAAAACACTTATTTACAGCTGATTGTAATCTTATAATCTGTATATTTATATTTGTATCCCTAGAATTAAGGCCAAAAAATTAGAATGGACAATCCCTTAATTATAAGATCAGTTTTAGAAAGGTTTAGTTTCCTAGTTTACCCACTAGTTAGTTGTATATAAACCTAAAGTGTTTGTATAATTCTTTATTAGTAGTTTTTCAATATACATTCAGTTTTACTTTTAGTTTTCCATGGTTTTATTTCTTAGTTTTTTCACATGGTATCAGAGCTTTAGGCTCTTCTTGGGAAGAAAATTTTTTCAACCTTCATTGTTGAATTCTATTTTAGGCCTTCATAGCCAAATCTTGTTAAATCTTTTAGTCATATTTTTTCCTTCTTTGGCCTTCATTGCTTAAAATTGTCTCTAGTTAAACTTTTACTATCAAGACTCGTTTTAGTTTTGAGAAAGATAACTGTGCCAGAGATAACAGAATTTGCCACTACTACTCGATTTGAGAAAGTGACAACTGGTAAAACCATTGGAGTACTACAAAGTCTCAGGAACAAAGAGAGTTAGACACAGAAAGGATTGAGAAACTAAGAAGCCTATTGAAAACTCTCGAAAAGCCTACTGGGGTATATTCTTTGGGTAAGTTCTCTAATTCAGGTAAAGCTTCTGGTTCTCATGGATTAAATATCTTGGTTAAGCTTATTATGAGTTCTTGGGTCATTGACTCAGGAGCCACTGATCATATGACACATTCCTCACAGAAGTTTACTACATATTCCCTGTGTCCTAATAATAAGAAAATTGTTATTGCAGATGGTTCACCTACTACAGTGGTAGGATTAAGAGATGTTCAAATTAATCTATCGTTTGTTTTTAAAAATGTTCTTCATGTTCTTGGATTGTCTACTAATTTGATATTTATACAAAAACTTACTAGAGACAATGAATTGCAAAATGACATTTTATCCCTCTTATTATGAATTTCAGGACTAGAGTTAGGAGAAGAGAATTGGACTTGCTCAGGAAAAGGATGGATTATGCTATCTTGAGACATCAAACAACATAAGTAATATCAAAAATAGTTTACCTTTGTCATTTCTTTATGAAAAATCTCTCAATAAAGACAAAATTTGGCTTTATCATTTTCGTCTTGGACATCCTTCTTTGGAACTTGGAAAAATATGTTTCCTTCTTTGTTTAAAGGATTAAATGCCAAAAATTTTCATTGTGATGTTTTTGAACTTGTAAAGCATAGATGAGTGTCTTTTTCAGTTAGCAATAAAAGAAATTCTACTCATTTTTACTTAATTCATAATGACATATAGGGTCCCTCCATAATTTTTAATATTTTTGGTGCAAGGTGGTTTATTTGTTTCATAAATGATTGTACTAGGGTGTCTTGGATATTTTTACTTAAATCTAAATCAGATGTGAATAGTATGTTTTTAAGCTTCCAAAACATGATCCAAAATTAATTTGAAGTGAAAATCAAGAGATTTAGGTTTGATAATGCAAGAGATTATTTCAACTAGAGTTTATCTACTTATTTCCAAAAAGAGGGGATTATCCATGAATCATCTTGTGTTAATACTCTACAACAGAATGGACTGGCAGAAAGGAAAAATAGTCATTTTCTAGTCACAACTCGAGCTTTACTTTTTTAAGCAAACGCACCCAAATCTTATTGGGGGGAAGTTGTTCTCACTACCACACACATTATAAATAGGTTATTTTCAAGGGTTTTGGGATTTAAAACTCCTATAGAATTACTTTCACAATTCTATCCCAGCTTTAATGCCACAAACAACCTCATACCTAGGATATTTGGTTGTACATCATTTGTTCATATTCACAGTCATAATAGGGGGAAGTTGGATCCTAGAGCAATTAAGTGCATTTTTGTAGGATATTCATCAACTCATAAGGGTATAAATGATATCATCCACCAACCAAAAATTCTGTGTCTGTAGATGTCACTTTTGAAGAAAGTAAGCCATTTGTTACTCAACCTTATCTTCAGGGGGAGACTTCATTCATAGAAGATAAGGATAAAGACTTCTTTTTGCTTGATTTGTCTTCCTTTTTAATGTTTTGACCCATTAATTCTTCTGAGTCCAAGTCAAACACTGAATTTGAGTTTGAACATTCCAAACACAGAACATGTGACAAAGGATAATGTTGTTCTTGATTCTATGAAGGAATTATAGTTGTACTCAAGAAGGAAAGTTTCAGATCCTGAACCAGAGCAAGTCCAAGAGCTTGATCTTAACTTTGAAAATGAGGTAACTATAGTTTTTGACACTATTTCTCATAATGAGCACGAATCTCCTAAAATTATAACTAGTGATTATGATCTGCCCACTAGGGAAGGAACTAGAGAATGTACTAAGCATCCACTATACTCAATCTCTAATTTTCTATCATTTGAAAAATTCTCAACATCCTACAAAAATTTTCTTTTGAGCCTAAACTTTATTTTTGTTCCAACTACATTATCCGCGGCATTATTCAATGAGAAATGGAGGCAAGCCATGAAAATAGAAATTGAGGTCTTAGAGAAAAATAAGACATAGGAACTGGTAAAGTTGCTTAAAGGAAAAAATCTAGTTGGGTATAAGTGGGTTTTCACTGTAAAATACAAGGTAGATGATACTATTGAAAGGTATAAAGCTAGGTTGGTGGCAAAGGGCTACACTCAAACTTATGGAGTGGATTATAAGGAAACTTTTGCTCCAGTTGCCAATATGAATATAATTAGGATTTTGTTATCATTAGCTGCAAATTACAATTGGCAGCTTCAACAATTTGATGTAAAAATGCTTTTCTACATGGTGATTTGAAAGAAGAAATATATAGGAAGGTTCCACTTGGATTTAGAGGTCATCTAGAAGCAAACAAAGTATGCAAGCTGAAAAAGGCTCTATATGGCTTTAAACAGTTTCCTAGCGCTTGGTTCAAGAGATTTGCCAAAGTGATACTAGCAATGGGATATAAGTAGAGTCTAAGAAAATCACATATTGTTTATCAAACACTTTGATTCAGGAAAAGTCATAATTCTATTAGTGTATGTTGATGATATAATTGTAATTGGAGATGATGAAAAAGAGAATCTTTAACACAGTGTTTGGCTACAGAATTTGAGATGAAAGAGCTAGGGAGATTGAAGTACTTATTAGGAATTGAAGTAGTTCACTCACGGCATGGTATTTTCATCTCACAATAGAAATATGTGATGGATCTTTTGAAGGAAACCGGAAGCTTGCATGTAAACTTACAAATATCTCTATAGATCCTAATCATAAACTCGGAGAAGTTAATGAAGATGTTGCTATAGATAAAGAGATGTACTAGAGATTAGTTGGAAGACTCATTTATCTCTCGCATACTAGACCTAATATAGCATATTCTGTGAGTGTGATAAGTCAATTTATGCATAGTCCTAAAGAAGTGCACCTACAGGTTGTCTATCATGTATTGCACTATTTGAAGACCAATCCTAGGAGAGGTATATTATTCAAAAAAAATTTGGTACTGGTTTTAAAGGCATATATAGATGCTGATTATGTAGGATTAGTAACTAATAGAAGATCCACCTCAAGCTACTACAGTTTCATAGGTGGTAATCTTGTGACTTGGAAGAGTGAAAAACAGAATTTTGTGGCAAGATCAAGTGCTGAAGCAAAGTTAAAAGCATTGGCTCAAGGAATTTGTGAACTACTATGGTTAAAGATTATCCTAGAAGACTTGAAGATCAAAGTAGGATGGACCAATGGGACTCTACTGTGATAACAAGTTTGCAATAAGCATTGCACACAATCCTGTGCAAGATGACAGAACAAAACACATTGAAGTAGACCATTATTTCATAAAAGAAAAACTAGACAGTGGGTTGATTTGTACGTCGTATGTATCACCCAAGGGTTAACTTGCATATGTGTTGACTAAAGGTCTTAGCAGTGCAACATTTCAAGAAACTATTTCTAAGCTGGGAATGGAAAACATCTATTCACTAACTTGAGGGGGAGTGTGGGAAAATACTTATTTATAGTTGGTTGTAATCTTGTAATCTGTATATTTATATTTGTATATCTAGAATTAAGTATTTGTATCCCTATAATTAAGGACAAAAAATTAGGACAGACAATCCCTTAATTATAGGATCAGTTTTAGGAAGATTTAGTTTTCTAGTTTATCCATTAGTTAGTTGTATATAAACCTAAGGCGTTTATATAATTTTTTTTTGAGCTGTTTTTCAATATACATTTAGTTTTACTCATAGTTTTTTACACAGTTTTATTTCTTAGTTTTTCCACAGAATGTTTAGTTGCAGTTTACTTTAAGCTATAACCAAAATTGTCCCAATTAAGTTTTTCTAAACTAATAACAATTTATTGATCATTAAAAGCAAAATTTGTCATACATGTGTGAAGGAGGTTAAGTTTGTCCATTTTTTGGAAGGTTTGTTTGTAATTAGTTTTTCACAAAAATACTATGTGAGATATAAATCTTTATAGAGCAAGACAAATCTAAAATCAACCTTAAGGACTGTAAAAATAGATCCAACATGATATACCCACTAATATGCATGTAAGCATAATATGAGATCATATCAAAAGTGTGCCAATTTTAGTAACAACTAAAGCAACAATCTGTATGTTGAACAAGTATGTGAAGTTCCATAGAGATTTGTTTGGTTGGAGTTACGTCAGTCATGTCTAATGCTACTATTTTAGGTCAAGAATGGTGGAGAACATGATGCTCATACTGAAGGTTCAAACTCCATAGTGAGGCCTTATTTGTGTACTGGGTATGACATCTATCTTGCCTGGGAGCCTTGTACAATGTAAGTTCGTTAAACAAAACTTAGCTCTCTTCCTGTTTGCATTTTATTTTAATTTTAGATGAATAAATTGAATATAGCTGATTTATTCTAATTTGAGATTAAGATTTAAGAATATTTGATTTCAAATGTCAAGTCTTGTCAATTTCTACCGATGGATGAGATGTTCTCGTGGTTGCTTGCTTGTTTCTGGTTAAAACTTAAAAGTGCAATGGTTTTGATCAAGGGTTTGCTTTGCCTTATATTATAGGCTGTTTTCTGATCAGGGGCATGCTTGTTCCTGAAGTACATGCCGTATTTTGTGTCTTCTGAATTTTAGCTATCTAGATATTTTTCATAAATATGTAACAAATACTCGTCTTTGGAAGTTGAAATAGCCATCAACTTTGTGCACCATACATGGTGAAGATGCTACACAATAGAAAAAGGAATTCTTCCACTCTAGCCTCATCAGTTATTTCTCCTGCTAAAATGGTCTTCTGCTTCATGGGTGCATTGCTAGCTAGAGTCATACAACTAGACTTTTAATTTGAGCTATAAATTTACAATTACAAATGGTTGTTTATTTGTGCAAGAGAAAAGCTTTTTGCCTACCATTTCTACTGGCTTCTTCCTTTTCGAGTGATGCTATTATCTGATATCTGAACATTTGGTTTTGTATTTAAGGTGTGCCATGGCTCTCGTCCATCAAAGAATTAGGCGCATATTTTATGCTTTCCCGAATACTGAAGCAGGTGCATTGGGAAGTGTTCATAGGTTACAGGGTGAGAAAAGCTTAAATCATCACTATGCGGTTTTCAGGGTCGTTTTGCCTGAAGAAGAAGAATTAAAGTAACTGATGGGAAACGAGTGATGTGCAACTGTGTAGTCGGGGATTAAGGTGGTTGGGGTGCAATGCAAAAGTAAAATTCACTGCACTTGCATGAACCTGAATTTCCTCTTGAAAAATTGGCTCTTCTGGTCTTTGCTGCTAATGCGTTCAGTAGCATTTTTTTTTTTTTTTTACAATTTTCCAGAAATTCATCTTTTATAATAATTACCTCCAAAGGTGAGTTGTTTGGAGATGGAGAAATTAAAAGAAAAAAAAAAAATGGAAGCGGGCCACATTGAGTGTGCTTCAACCAAAGATTTAATGTCTTGACCCACTAGACTTGATCAAGTTTAATGGACCTATTCCTAGTTTTTTTAGAAATAGCCATTTTATTTATTTGTTCATTATTTGTTATCTTTCATCGTGTCTTTTAATTGTAATTAAAAAAAGTTTGATTTAATAAATCAAATGAAAATTAACAAAAATAAATAAATAACAGTCATAATAAAAATGATTATGGAAAATTCCTAAATAATATAAAATTTAAGAAATTTTTAGTGACATTAAAATGAAAATTCGAGTGAGGAATAATAGTGGATTCAACCAAATTTTTGGGAAAATTATTCCAACACATGAGATTTAAAAATAAAAAAAGTAATAAGGAGAGATTTAGAAGATGTAGAAAAGGAAAACATTAAATAAAGCGAGGTGTGAAAAAATCAATAAAATAAAAGAACGATGTGTAAACGACAATGTTAAATAAAGTGAAGTATGAAAATAAATAAAATTTCATGAGAAAATAGACAAAGTTTCATTTGGATCCCTTGCCTTCCCTCCCGTTGTTTTAACCTGGCTTCCATCATCACATCTTGGAAGCAGAAGAAACCTAAACTTAGAGGAAATGGAAGCAAAGGAGGAGAAGGAGAAGGAGAAAGAAAGGAACAGTGGAAAGCGCAAAAGAAGGGGCTTTTCTCCTTCTCATTCCGATGGTAATACCGTCATCTTCCCTCTGTTACTGGCCGCTGCTCTCTCCCGCTTGAATACTCATACAACACTAGTCAAGAAATGCTTAACCAAATTCCTTTCCCAAGGACAACCAATTCCCACTCCCCTTCTCTCCCTTTGCCCACTCCTTCTCAACTCCCAATCCCCCCAAATCGCCATCCTCGCCGCCCGCATTCTTGTGGCGGCTTCTCTCATGTCCTTTCAAATGAATCAACAGGTCGTTTCAGACCCTCCAACGCTTAAGGCTTTGATATCTTTGAGGCCCCCTTCTCAAAAGAATGTGACCGTCTCCATAGCTGCCTGCGATGCCCTTCTGGATTTGTGCGCCACTTGTGTTGCCAGACACCGATTGCTCCATTTCTCTGCTTTGGAAACTCTCATGTCGTTCTTTTCTTTATAATTTTTCATTCCCATCAAGTAGTAATCTCATTTCATTTATTTGCTTTGCTTATATTACTCATACATATTATTTAGAGTGACTGCAACCTTACCAAGAGGAGTGGACAACTATAAAAATAAGCGGTTGTGGATGTGGGTGCCATAAAAATCTTTGAACCTCTACATTACACATACACGTTGATTAAAAGAACTGAATGCTGTTGACAATTGCCATTAAGGGTGCATATTTAGTTTTGTTTAGGGTCTTTATCTTGTCATTGTTGATCATAAGTATGAATGATTTGGTCGATAGGCAACCAAACTAAGAGACGTTAAACCACAATTATGTCTTTTCTCGCTTTCCATTGCCATTGAGCTTTAAGTCATATCATCAATTGTATTTGCATAGTTTATTCACCTAATAATTGGTAAACATATTTATTCCTTTAAAACTTCGTTCTGCTGTTGAATAATTACAATCAACCATTTAAATTGATAAACATGGACAATTCTTTTTGGTTTGGAATTATTCACTTTACATTTTTTTTGTAAAAGGGGCAAAAAGCATATAGTGGATACATGACATATATGCTCTGACTCATACAGCCACAAATATTATGTTGGTTATCTTACACTTAACTTGTAGTATAGACACATAATAATGAAAAAAAAAAAAAAAGAGAATAACTAAGTGAAGCGTTCTTTGTGTTTCCTATGAAAATATAAGCTTTGAAATTATTAAAACATAAAGTAAATAAATTTTGGATAGACTGTTTGGATTAGTTCCTTTTGTTTCTAGTAGAACGTAAAATTTTCCATGCAAAAGTTTTCAGGATTTTATCAATATGTTTGAAGAAGACTCCACTGCTAATTTGTTGCTTCATTTTTCCCTGAAAATATGTAGTTATAATCTATATATATATATATATATTCATATGTTAGTTAAAAAAATAAATATAAATATAAATGAAAACCGAAGACGATCTCCTTGTAGAAAATGCCCTCTTCGCTGCATTCTCAAGTGCCGTGTTGTTTCTCCGCTCTCAAGGCTATAGTAGAAAAAGCAAATGAAACCGAAGGACTTCTGCTCAATATGAATCAAATATCTCTCCTTCTTTTTCATTCACCCTGCTTTGGGTGATGATTCAAGGCACCTATCGCTTTGGAAACTCCGTCGCTCTCTCTTGTTTCTTGGTTGACTACTACTTGTAAAAGAAATGGAGCAGATTTGAGTTATGGTTCATGCATTTGCTGACATGAAAATGGGAATTCAGAACTTGATTTCTCACTTGTTTTTTACTTTCTTTTGGTTGACAGTCGGTTAGGACTTTGGCCATCAAAGGATAAATTATTTTCTATGGTGATTAATTTAGGACAAAATTTGTCCGAAGTAGTCGACTACGTTTGGCTTGGATGGCATGAGATTGCTACATCAGGTTTCGAGGCGTAGTGCCCTCCCACAAGTAAGTAGAGTAGGTATTTTGTAGCTAATGAGGTCGGGTGAGGTCAAAATAACTTACTGAATTTGACTCAAATGTCATGAAATTACTGCACCAAGAATTTGTCAGGTTTGGAAGTGTAATTACTTTTACAAATAAGTAAAGTAAATAAATTATAACTAATAAAATTGGGTGAGGTAAAGGGTAAATTATAAATTTTTAAAAATTTTGTTCAAAGCAATGTCAGCCATAATTAAAATAATCTCATTTTAATATAAAATTCACTTCTCGTCGAATTAATGCAAGTAAATTAAAAATGGGACATCTCCGTTAAAATGAAAAGAGACACGGAGGGCGGAGGCCCGAGGGGATGGTTGAAAATCCTTTCACATGGAAGTGGGTGGGGAGAACTTTAGGAGGTTCCATCCATCATGGTTCATAAATATTAGTTTTGTTCCAAATAAATGTGCATAAGTTGGTTGAAACGAGACTACAAAATTAATATTTTTTCATTAGTTTTAAGGAGTTTTTGAGTTTTGCCCAATATATTTTCATTTTGGATCGATTCCGACTTATTTATGATATTTATCAAAGTTTTATGAGAATTCGAATTTTTAATTAATTCATGTAATATTTTTTAATAAAATGATATTTAGCAACTTTAGAATTTAAGTTAAAAAAGGCGAAGGGAAAAAAGCAGTAGTAATAATTTGTTATCGGTTAGAAAGTAGGAGCAGGTGGAGGGCCACTATTGGCGGGGAGCAACAAATAGCAATGGTCACAGATGCAACATACAAAAATCTGATAATATAACCCTACTAGAGATCCCGTTCTCGATGTCTTTCTCTCTCCATATCTCGCCATCACCGCCACCATCACCACCACCGACTGTGGCCACTGGAACGTGCTCTTGAAGGTGGGGTCTCTCTCTCGCCTCTATTGGCATGTATGTATTTATATATTTATTTATATTTTATACGCGCTTTCTTCTTTTTATTTTCCTTTGATAAAAACGAAAGCAAATCTCACAGCACCTTTATGGCATAAAAATGGCGGTGGGTCCGTCTTGTTTTAGCTTATCTCTCGCTAGAAACTAAAAGCCACCTGAGATTTTTACAGTTTGGTTTGCTTCGTTTTTTTGCTTAGTTTGGTAGAGCTGGTTTTTCATTGTTTTCATTTCTTTTTGGGGTTTTCTTTACCTTACCTCTCAAAAAACAAAATGGGCTGTTTTTTGCTGCCTTGGTTTAGCTTACGAAATGTTGAATTACTAGGAAATTTTTGCTTAAAGTGAAAATTTCATTGATATATCATCTGGGGTCTTTTTTGATTGATAAATTTCGTTAACGAAGGCTGATGAATACAGTTAGTTTTGATTTGGCTTTAACTGAGTGCTCGTGAGAATTCACTGTGTGGTTACGTTTTGAATGTCACCTTTAATAATACCCTTTGCTCAAGAGATTTTTGAAATTAGGGTTATAACTAGCTTGTATGTAGGTCAATCGCTTCAAATTAGCCCCCCTTTTTTTTGTGATTACTTTGAAATTCTTATAGGGTTTAGTTCAGCAAAAGTGGAGTTTTACTTGAATGAACTTATCTGCCCAGTATGTGACTTCAAGATTGATGACTTGCTTATAACAACTGTGCTTTCTAAATGATGTTATCTAATTGTTTCAATCTTTCCGCACAAAGTTCTTATAATACATGTTAGTTGATGGATTACTTATTTGCTAGGCTTGGTATTTGTTCCTTTTTGTAATTTTATTTGGTTGAAAGATAAAGAATCATTTGTACTGATATTAGGCTTCTTATATAAATGGACAAGTTGATTATTTTTTGCTTGTCAAGATTTATGATATCAAGTTTCAGTTTTGACGGTTTGTAGATACCGGTACTAGTCATTTAGTGTGAAACAAATTTTACAGTTGCACGATTTTTGTTATGAGTAATTGCTTTTCCTTGATGACTGCTAGCAAGGAATGAAGCTTGTTTCATTGCACATAATCTACACTGCAAATCCATTTTTATGAGAAAAGTAAAAGAGAAAAAGATTTCAAATTTAATTATTCTACCATGTTTCTAACTTTCACTTCTGGAGCTAAACTGGAGCTGTTGGATTACCAGCAGTTTAGCATAATAATTCTGGTTGCAAGGTGGAGAAAGTAATCTTTTGGTTGTTGCTACTAATTTTGAAAGAGTTTGGATATGGAGAGAAATAGTTCAGCAAATAGAAAATAATAAATGGAGCATCAAGGAATTGGATCGTTGATTTTCAGTTATCTATTCTTTTATTCTAATACCACAAATAGGGATTAGTAGAATCCTTTTTTGAATAATTGTGTTTCTTTAAGCCTTATTTCTGCCGCTTTTCTTTATTTTGTTGTTTTGTTGGTCCACTGCCCCTTTTGTGAGAGCTGGGTGTTGGGGCATGCACATTTTTCCTTTGTTTGCTTGAGAATTAATTACTTATTAGGAAGATGTAGCCTGGTTGGTAGTCGTGCCTCTCCACAAAGGAGTTTCCAAGTGATCATTGGCAGTCTTGCATGTGATTATCTTGGCAACTCTTTTATGTCAGAAGTGCTCCACTATCAGTCTTTTCTCTTCAAATAAAAATGAAAGGGAAGATATTATTTGACTGTGAAATAAGGTGATATTTTTTACTATGCAATCTTAAACTTTGATTTCTGATGAATTAGAGTCAGTCAGAAAGGCGACTCAATTTGTTGAAACACCAAATCATGTGATTTGAGATATAGTATGGTGCAAAGGAAGTGAAAAATGTTTGCTTGTTGTCAGCCAATAAATAACATATTTAAATTTACTATGTTCTCATGGGTTGAGAATCTTCTGTTATGTTTGTAATTGAGGTCATGGCTATTTGAATCAATATAGTTAACATCATTTAGTGTGATCAATAGGCCATTTTACAATTTTATGAACCGTTGTCAAATATGAGTTGATGTTTTTCATTATCTATTCTTTATTGAAATTGACTTTTATTTCCTGTGCTTAACTATTGCATCTATTTTTTCTTTGGTTTACTTTTCCTGCAGGTCATTCCTTTGCACATCATGATATAGGTAGTGCAAGAATATAATGGCTTCTAAAGGACCAAGGTCTAAGCTTGAGCATGAGACAAGAGCTAGGCGTCAAAAGGTAATAGTGTCTAAGGTTTTTATAGCAGTCTTTTCTGGTCTGTTATATTGTTATTATTGTTGTTAGTGTCATCATGCATTGTGCACACATGTGCACGTGCTTAACTGTAAAGAAGTTTAAAGATGAAATGTTTGTGGGGGCTCAGGTATTTTAAGAGTGAATTTATATTAAGTATGTTCTTAACTGTCGTGAACTTTTTGTTGCATCTTAGTTTCAAAAGGATAAGTTGTTTTTCTAATTGAGAAAATATTATATCAAAGCATTGATAATTGATAACTAATTAGATCTGTTTTTCTGAGCAGCTTCTTGTAGTTATCTTGTGGTATCTTGAAATAAAATATTTTATCTAGTAACTGCACGTCTAAAACCCTGATAAGTTAAACGATACACATCTGCTTTTTATTATGTTTACCCCAAAGGGAAAAGTCCCACCCATTCCTAATGGGAAATACTTTTTCTGATTGTTCAAAGAAAGTTGAAGAAATAAAAAGCAAATTTTAACAATATTCTCATTAGATGTTCAACTTTTTTGTAATTCGATGTAGAAATCCAACATCAGACCTTGATAGAGCTGAAGGTTGGCATTTTTCTTTAAGGAATTGTGCCTCAAAAGTTGCTTAAAACTTTTGAAGTTATTTTCCAATTATAAATCTTTTGGTTATTGAAATAACTTTCAGGAAGTTATTTTTCTGGTTTTTGAAACGCTCAAAGAAAACAAGCCAAAGGATGCCATTTTCTGTTTAATGGAAACATAGAAAGGCAATCAAGGAAAACAGTGTCCTCACGTTAAATTGAAAGGTTATTTCCCATTGGAACTTGCTCTGCCCAGCAAGGAGGGTGGAAAGGCGCTTCTTACCACCAAAGGCTGTTCTTACCGAATTTTTTGTTGTTAAACTCAAATATTGAACTAAATGGAACTCAAGAGTTGTCTTGCTGTTTCTTTAAAATGAAATTTGAAAATTTCTAGGAGCAGATCTTAATGCTCTCTTCCTTCGTTTGTCTTCAAGTAGATTTGAACCTTATTTTTTCATTTCTTAGAAAATTTGTAACTGCTGATTAGATTGCTGCTTATCTGCAAATTTATTAACCTTGTTGGGTTTTTTTTTTTTTTTGGTTCATTTATAAGATTGATAAACTTCTGATGTAGACTGTTCTTGTGGTCTTGAATTACTATATCAGTGCATTATGATGCATTCTTATGCTTTTCAGTTAAAAAAAAAAGGAAAAAAGGTGGTTTTTGTTTATTTAGCAAAAAAAAATTATATCCACTTTTTAATTTAACAAACCAGGTATGGGGTACAGAAAAAGACTATCTGATGTAAGTGTTAATAATTGTTTATAAAATGATGTTGACAAGTCTTACAGTTACGTTAAACTTCTAGCTAAATGTGAAGAAATGTTGTGAGTTGAAATTAGTCGCCCTAACGTTTTGAATGAACTTTGAGCGTTGAGGCAGATTTTATCATTTTATTTATAGTTGGTTGTATGCCTTTTTTCTTGTAAATGCATGTGCCCAATTCTATCATTCAGTCATAGTTTTTTTGAAACAATCATTCAGGCAGTTATATAATGTATTAACTTGAAAATGTGAACCCATCCAAAATCATAAACGTCAATTTTACGATAATTAAAAATGTTGAAACACAGAATATTGTGGTAGTTAACATTTGGCTCTCATGTAACTTGGACTAAAGGTCACTAGGTGTTACTGATTTGTGGTCTTTTGCATTATTACCTAGCACTCACTTCTCGATGCCTTATGTTGTCAAAGGGCCAAGATAGAAGAAGCAAGCTATGCTTAAGCAGTGAAATTTTGTAAAAGCTACATTTTTGAATGAAACTATATTGGTGATTTTGGGTGATACGAATATTGAATGTAGGAGTCCATGCTCTGCTAAAGATGGCCATCTTTCATAAATTATGCATATTGACATTCATGGAATTAGTTGATTAAGAATACTTAGAGATTGTCCTGATTTTGTATTATGTCCGTGGGGAAACCTCCGGATATATGCTTCGGACTGGTTAGATCATCCAGTAAGAGATTGTGTAGCTACCATGTGTTCTAGTAGTTGATTGTTAACTTTTGATTTAACTTGATTTTAGGCACTTGAAGCGCCTAGAGAGCCCCAACGTCCTAAAACTCATTGGGATCATGTTTTAGAGGAAATGGTTTGGTTGTCGAAGGTAATTGACTAACTTATGCTTCTGAACTTTGCGATTTTCAATGCATACATCTAAAATGTTAGTTATTTGTCATTCATACTTTGTGTTTGCGTGTGTTAATGTTATTTGCCTGGATGCATCTCCTTGCAGTGGGATATGAAACAGTTACCATGCTGCCCTCTCTTGCTAACTAACTTGGATTATAACAGGACTTTGAGTCAGAGAGGAAATGGAAATTGGCTCAGGCAAAGAAGGTTGCATTAAGAGCCAGCAAGGGCATGTTGGATCAGGCCACCAGGGGAGAAAAGAAGTTGAAGGTTTCTTTTTACTTTTACTAAACTAAAAAATAGTAGTTCTTTAACATATCATTTGCTAAGGATGGAGTTTTGCTTGTATTAGGAAATGTACGAATGCAGTCTTTATATAATTGAGTTGATTTAAGTTTACCCTGTTAATTTTTTAAATCTAGTATGCAATTGTGATCAGGAAGAGGAACAGCGGGTGCGAAAAGTTGCACTTAATATTTCTAAGGACGTGAAGAAATTCTGGATGAAAATAGAGAAACTGGCAAGTCATAATTAATTGACCTTCCATGAATGCCTTCCAGTTTCTTAACATCAAGAATCTTATCTCCATTTAAATTTGTGATTCTAGGTGCTTTACAAGCATCAAGTGGAGCTCGATGAGAAAAAGAAAAAGGCACTTGATAAACAGCTTGAGTTTCTTTTAGGGCAAACTGAGAGGTTACTGTTTTACCCTAAATTTCATTAACTTCTTTGAGCAAAAATGAACTGATATTCGTTGTGGAATTTAGGTACTCAACAATGTTGGCAGAAAATTTAGTGGACCCATACAAACCTGTGCAACAATGTCCTGCTCAGCATCAACTAAACTCTCCTGGTAAAGTAGATATGCATGAGATTGATGAACCCTTGGACTTGAATGCTGGTAATCAGAATGTCATAGTTTTGTCATTAATTATAATTGCCATATCAACCAAAGTACTTTTAATACTTACCTCATGAAACCTTTCTGGTATGATTGCAGATGCTGATGAAGATTTTGATGTACACTCTGAAGAAGAATCAGTAAGTCTTTTTCTTTTAGTGGAAGAATTCCTTTTTATCTTGACTTTTATGATATGTATGTTTCAAATTTGTGTGAAACATATGCCTTGCTCCTTTGTTTTAACTTAGTTTTATTTAGAAAAAAAAAAAAAAAAACTTTATGGTGCATCTTGTTATAATGTGTCATTCATAATTGATGACAAAGGGTTATAATTGTATGAGGTGTTGAATCATGTCAGATTGTCAGGCATATGCTGACATTTATTTATTTTTACTCATTATATATTTTCTTTTGAGAAAATGGTGAAAAAGGGAAAGAAAAGAAAATTAGGAGTCTGTCGGACTTACAGAAATTACTTCTTGTTGGGACTGTAAACAGAAAATTTATATGAAGTTCTTCTAGATAAATTTGTTCTTGTTTTTGCTTGTAAATAGTAAAGCCGTGGTATGATCTTCAGTAGATTCTGAAGAAGAATCAGTGAATAGTTTTCTTTTAGTTAAATTCCTTTTTATCTTCAGTTTTATATTTTATATATATATATATATATATATGGTTCAAATTAGTGTGGAATCTATGCCTTTCTCCTTTTTTTTTGGATATAACAAAACACTTTATGATGCATTCTGTTATATTGTGTCATTCGGTAAGTGATGACAAAGGATTATGAATGCTATGGAATGTCAAATCATGTCAGGCATATGTTAAAGTTTATTTTTTCTACTGATTATATATTTTTCTTTTGAGAAAATAGTGAAAAAGGAAAAGAAAAGAAAATTATGGCTCTGTTGGTCTTAATGAAATGACTTGGTATTAGCCCTGTAAACATAAAATTTCTATAAAATTGTTGTAGTTATGTTATTTTGTTGTTTGCTTGTAAATAATCAAGCTGTGTGGTCTGACTATTTTTTTCATGATCTTGTTTTAGGAAGATGATGAGCAAACAATAGAGGAAGATGAGGCTCTTATAACTGCAGAAGAAAGACAAGAAGAATTGGCAGCTTTGCACAGTGAAATAGATCTTCCACTTGAGGAGCTCCTTAAGCATTATGCTGTGGAAGCAGGTGAAATATTACCATTATACAGTTTTATTCTTCTTTTTCTCTCCCTTATGGTTTTTTTTTTTTTGGGGGGGGGGGGGGACAGGGGAGGGGATTGATGTTTTATTCCTTGATTTTCTTTTTGTGTGATAGAAGTCATATTATGATGACATAAATTAGTGGCTGAAGTATATGATGTGTGTATCCCCATCTATGTAATTTTGCACCCTTCTTTTCACACTTGCATTGTTAGTTATTATTATTGTTTTTTTGGGTTAAAATGTAGTATGTTGATCAATCTAAGTTTTCACAGACAGCAGAGAAAGTAGTCTGGAAAAGGGGGAGGATGGAATTGAGTCAATATTGGTAAAAGATGAGAGTAGTAAGTGTGTGAATTTGTTTATAGATTTGGTTACTTGTGCCTTGTGTGTGTAATGATCTGCCTGAAATTCTGACTATTTTAACTTTTCACAGGCAATGGAAACTATGTTTCTGCTTCCTGTAAATTTGAAACAGCCAACTTTCTTGTTCGTCGTTCTGTAAGTTGTATGTGTTTGTGGTTGTTGTTGTCAATTGCGAAGGAGGTTCTGGACTCAATATAATGTTTATTTTCTGATTATAGAATGACAGCGATGGTGGCTTGTGCAAATCAGAAAACCACTCATTAGACATTGAGGCATCTTCCCTCAAAAATCTCTCAGAAAGCTCTGGGGGGCTAGCCAAACAAGATGTTCCATATGATTTCAGTGACGAGCAGGTTAGACTGTATTGCAAAATATTCAATCTAAGCTTTATCATTAATTCACTATTTTTTTTTTTTTTTGTTTTGTTTCATCTTTTATGTCTTTTTTTAATCAAATGCTAATCTTTTGTTTGTTTTATTTCATGATGTGCAGGATGATGGTGATTTTACCCTTGCTGGAGAAGAGAAGGTACATCATATGGTATCATGCTTTTTCTCTTGTTTCCTTGTTATGGATTCTGTTTTCTGTTGTGATACTAAAGGAAGCCAGCTTTTCTGTATTCCTTGATCATGATGTAGTTTTGAATGCCCATCTTTGAATTGCTTGCTTTTTATTGGAGGGGTAATTAGTTACCGTAAAAGAGCATGCACCTGACAATATGAATTTCAGTTTGATTTAATTGATCTAACCCTAGTGGGTTAACTTACTGGTCCTTTATTCAATTTAAATGCTTTTGGCTAAGTGATTCCTGATGTGACACCAAGCTCTTTGGGCAATTTCTTCAATTGGTAGCAGTATAGTTGTCAGGTTCATTTGAATTCACTGCTTTCTACTTCTTGTTAGCTGATAGAAGATATTGTTCCTCATCCTTTCCTAATAGCCATGGTCTTTATGTTATTTTGTTTGTATAGTGGTGTATGCCTGTCATAAGAGGTTCCTACTCATGCTCATATGCTGCAGTATTTTAGGATATTAAAAACTAACAAGTTGTGGGTTTCAGTTGTTTTGATATGATGAGTTGCGATTATGCCAAAGAAACATGAGAATAAGTTACGGGTGATCTCCTGCATCATAATTTTGTATTTAGATTGTTCGTTTGGTTTTAAAAAAATTATGACTTGCCAAAGTTTCCCCCTAAGAGAGAAAAATAAAGAGATGTTCACTGTAAAGTGCTCCCCTTAAAAGGAAAAGAAAGAGAGGTTCACCTTTCAAAACAATTGTTTTCTGAAGAAATCACAAATTGTAGGCTACTCTTCATGATTGTAAAGCACTTTGGTCTATTTTCCATAGATTTCTTGTTATGAAGCTTTCTTCTGTGTTGAAATTTATATTATTATCCTCTTTTCACCTCATATTTATGAACTGTCTGTTATACTTGGATCACATTGAGTTTTCTTCTTCCCTTTCTTTCCTTGAGAGAATGGGTTATCACATTTTTTTTTTAAATAGTACATGTTAGAGTTATCATTATTAGAGTTAATCAATTGGTTTAGTGTAGGTCTTTTTTTTTGTTTTGCCAAATGAGATATTAATGTATTTGGCTTCGCACTCTCCTTTTTTCCCCTTTTTTCTCAAATAAATGATAAGATTTTAGGCAGTTCTTCTTGGCCTGAAGAGTTATTAGTAGTGTATGTCATTTTCTTTCCTTGGCCAGAATTGATTACAAATTTCTTGACCATTTATTTATTGTTGTTTGATTAAAACTTTTATTTACATTCTTTCCATTTTTGGCTTCCAATGTCTAGGATGATGAGACAACACTGGCGGAGGAGGAGGAACTGGCAAAAGCAGATTCAAACAATCCCATAGATGAGGTAATCGGCATGCTAAATATGGCTTGTGTTTGTATGTCTCAATTCCTGACCTGGTGAAAAGTTCTTCCATTGTTTGATCCCCGATTTGGTTGTTGAAGTTCTTGTCCCAGTCTTATTTTTTGAATTTCTTGTCCTAGTTTCTATTTTCTAGTTGTTAGTTGATGTTAAACATTGCAGCTTGTTTGCAGATTGTTTTACTGCAAAAGGAGAGTGAAATTCCTGTGGAAGAATTGCTTGCAAGGTATAAAAAGGTAGGTTAAAGGATTGTATCTTCTTTTTGCCGGAGAATTACTTTTCTTATATTTATTTTTTCTTTATCATCCACATTTATCATCAACATTTATCAAACAGGACTTCAGTGCTGATGACGTGTCTGGAGATGAATCTGAGTATGACTCAGCTTTGTCAGAGGGCCTCTTGGATTCACCAGCACATCAAAATCTTGAAGCGAGGGAGGAGGGTGATGCTAAGGATCAAAATCTTGAATCCATTGTTGCCCAGGGAGTTTTGCATCCTCATGCAGAAGAGGAGGAAGCAAGCCCTGATAGAAAATCAGAAGATGGAAAGGTAAGCGAGAATAGAATTGCTGATGCTGCTGCTGCCGCAAGATCAGCACAACCAACGGGCAATACATTCTCAACTACTAATGTTCGTACAAAGTTCCCTTTTCTTCTAAAACACTCCCTTCGCGAATATCAACATATTGGCCTGGACTGGCTTGTTACGATGTATGAGAAAAGGTTAAATGGAATTCTAGCTGATGAAATGGGGCTTGGAAAGACAATCATGACAATTGCCCTTCTTGCACACTTAGCGTGTGAAAAGGGAATATGGGGTCCTCATCTCATTGTGGTTCCTACAAGTGTCATGCTTAACTGGGAAACTGAGTTTCTTAGATGGTGTCCTGCCTTCAAAATTCTGACATACTTTGGAAGTGCCAAAGAGCGCAAATTTAAGAGGCAAGGCTGGTTGAAACCAAACTCATTTCATGTATGCATAACGACTTACAGACTGGTTATACAGGATTCTAAGGTCTTCAAGCGGAAGAAGTGGAAATACCTAATCTTGGATGAAGCTCATCTCATTAAAAACTGGAAGTCCCAAAGATGGCAAACTCTTCTGAACTTCAATTCAAAACGGCGTATCTTGTTGACTGGTACACCACTGCAGAATGATCTCATGGAACTGTGGTCACTGATGCATTTTCTAATGCCCCACATTTTTCAGTCGCATCAAGAATTCAAGGATTGGTTCAGTAATCCTATATCAGGGATGATAGAAGGACAAGAAAGGGTGAACAAAGAGGTTGTTGACCGCTTGCATAATGTCCTCCGTCCATTTATACTGCGTCGATTGAAAAGGGATGTCGAAAAGCAGCTTCCGATGAAACATGAGCATGTCATATATTGTAGGCTCTCAAGAAGGCAGCGTAACTTGTATGAAGACTTTATTGCTAGCTCAGAGACACAAGCCACTCTTGCAAGTGCCAATTTTTTTGGGATGATCAGTGTTATCATGCAACTTCGCAAAGTTTGTAATCATCCTGACTTATTTGAGGGACGTCCGATTGTGAGTTCTTTTGATATAGGTTGTATTGATATCCAATTGAGTTCTTCCATTTGTTCAATTCTTTCACCTAGTCCATTTTCAACTGTAGATCTTAGGAGTTTGGGACTTTTATTTACTGATCTTGATTTTAGCATGACTTCTTGGGAGAGTGATGAAGTAGCAGCTCTGGCTACTCCAAAAATTTTAATAGAAGAGCGTGCTGACCAGGATAATCTTGAGGAAATTAAGCCCTTCCCTAAACATCAGAAGAACTTGTATGGGACAAATATATTTGAAGAGATTCGAAAGGCTTTAATGGAGGAGAGGATAAGAGAAGCAAAACAACGAGCAGCATCAATTGCATGGTGGAATTCTTTGAGATGCCGGAAAAAACCAGTTTACTCTACAACATTACGTGAACTGCTCTTGGTGAAGCATCCTGCATTTGATATTCACCGTCAAAAAGCTGACAGTCGGTGCTACTTGTACTCCTCTAAGCTTGCTGAGATTGTTCTTTCACCAGTTGGACGCTTCCAGGCAATGATTCATCTGGTTGAGTCCTTCATGTTTGCAATCCCTGCTGCTCGGGCCCCAGCACCAGTTTGTTGGTGCAGCAAAACAAGAAGTTCTGTGTTTCTGCAACCAACTTATATGGAGAAATGTGCTGAAACTTTGTTGCCCCTCTTAACACCTATTAGACCTGCAATTGTCCGTAGGCAGGTATATTTTCCTGACAAGCGATTGATACAGTTTGACTGTGGTAAGTTGCAGGAGCTTGAAGTTTTGCTGCGAAGATTGAAGTCTGAAGGTCATCGGGCATTAATTTTTACCCAAATGACCAAGATGCTTGACCTATTAGAGGCTTTCATAAATTTGTATGGATATACTTACATGCGTCTAGATGGGTCCACTCAACCTGAGGAGCGCCAAACATTAATGCAACGATTCAACACTAATCCTAAAATTTTTCTTTTCATCTTATCAACTCGTAGTGGAGGAGTTGGTATTAACCTTGTTGGGGCAGATACAGTTATCTTTTATGATAGCGATTGGAATCCTGCCATGGATCAACAAGCTCAAGATCGCTGCCATCGAATAGGACAGACACGTGAAGTGCATATCTACCGTCTAATCAGTGAGAGCACAATTGAAGAAAACATTTTGAAGAAAGCAAATCAGAAGCGTGCCCTTGATGATCTAGTAATACAGAGTGGAGGGTATAATACTGAATTTTTCAAGAAGCTTGATCCTATGGAATTGTTCTCAGGTCACAGGACACTCTCTGTTAAGAGTATTCAGAAGGAGAAAAATCATAACAGTGGCATTGACGACACTGTATCTAATGCTGATGTAGAAGCTGCTTTGAAATATGTGGAAGATGAGGCAGATTACATGGCATTGAAGAAAGTTGAACAGGAAGAGGCTGTTGACAATCAGGAGTTTACAGAGGAAGCCATGAGCAAACTGGAAGATGATGAGTTTGTAAATGAGGATGATATGAAGGTTGATGAATTAACTGATCAGGGTGGATGTATGACCACTTCAAACAAAGATAATGGGCTGATATTAAATGTGTGTGGTCCTATTGAAGGGAAAGCTCTCATCCTTGCTAGCAAAGAAGACGATGTTGATATGCTGGATGATGTCAAGCAGATGGCAGCTGCTGCTGCAGCAGCAGGACAAGCTATTTCTTCCCTTGAGAATCAGTTAAGACCAATTGATCGATATGCAATCCGTTTTCTGGAATTATGGGATCCCCTTATAGACAAGGGAGCAACGGAGTCAGAAGTTAGGTTTGAAGAGGCAGAATGGGAACTTGATCGTATTGAGAAGTACAAGGAGGAAATGGAAGCTGAGATTGATGATGATGAGGAACCTCTAGTGTATGAGAGTAAGTGTTTTTTTGTACTCATTATTACCTTTTTTTTTTTTTTTGCATGACATGTTATCTTATTACTAGAAGCAATAAGCATTTTACAGGTTTTTTTTTTATTTTTTTTTAAATTTTAAGATCAGTTGTAAAATTAAGTCAATTACATGATTTCCTTTTATTTCAATTCTTTCCCAGCATGACACTATTTATTTGGCTCATATGATTTGCTTAACTTTATACGTTGAAAATACTTGGAATTCTGAAATGTAAATAAATTTATGACGTTAGTTGTGCATATCCTGAAGCTAATGCCTTGTTATCAACCCTTTTCAGAATGGGATGCTGATTTTGCTACAGAAGCATATCGTCAGCAAGTTGCTTTGGCTCAACATCAGGTAAGTAAACCTCTGCATACAGCCATTTAAATTAGTTATTATGTGTGGTTTGATTTAGGCGGTTATTTATTTTATTTTTTAATATTTACTTTATAGTTAATGGAAGAACTGGAATATGAAGCCAAAGAGAAGGAAGAGGCAGATGATGGAAACTTTGATGCTATGTAAGATGTCTCTTTAACTCTTAAACCCAAAACTTTTTAGCTAGCACTTTTATGCTTCTTTTTTTTTTTTTTTTCCCTAACATGATAATACTAAGATGGTCACTTGATACATTTGAGTAGAACAAAACTCATCTTTAAGTGCATTATTTCATGATATGCAATCTAAAAAATATGAGGTTTTAACACAAGTAACTCTACTGTAGCCAAAAATTTGATATTAGTAGGAGCTGCTTAATTTTTACTACGTCAATTTGACAGTTCTGTTTCATAGTGAATGACAAATGATAATCTTATAGGAATTTCATCAGTGCCTTTATCACCCGGGAAGATTAGACTTGCTAGGCTTTCATTAAAAATTTCCTGATTTTTGTGCCTTAAGAAAATAGTTGTTGCAGTAAAAATGAGGGTTTTAAAATTTAGTTACAAATTGTGTTTGGATTTTCTATCAGCTAAACCTTATTGCTCTTTCTAAATTTATAATCTAGCTAGGACTTAGGGATGGGCCACAACATTTTTTAAAGATAACAAGTTGATTTCAAAACAGTACCTGCAAATTGGGTGTTCATGTTATTGAAATTTGAGATGTAGATATTCTAAATAAAGGAGTCAAATCCTTATATATACTGCTTTTGGACCAAAATTTCAATTTTAACCTGCTATCTTTTTGAAGGAATGAAATGACAAGTGAACCTAAACCAAAACCTAAGAAGAAGAAGAAGAAGCCGAAGAAAGCGAAGTTTAAATCTCTGAAGAAGGGATCTTTAAGTTCTGAAGTGAAACCTGCAAAACAGGTGACAAAAGCAGAAACTATGTCCATAGATGATGATGTTAACTCTCCTGAAGAGCTCTCTGATTCGGATATTACTTCACCATCTTCAAATATGCCGAAAAAACGTAAGAAGATTGAGATAGTGCATGATGCTGAAGAAGGGAAGAGCTCAAAGAAGAAGCCCAAAAAACTCAATAAGCCTCCCTCTGACTTACGTACTGTAGACTGGGAACCAACTGCAATTCGTAAGAGGAATGGTGAATGTGTAGAGGTAAAACCATGTATAAATGTTGCTGTTGACCTTGAGCAAAAACCTGCTAGCAGGAGCAAAACAGGAGGAAAATTTTCCATTACTTCCATGCCCGTGAAACGAGTCTTAATGATAAAACCAGAGAAATTAAAGAAAGGCAATATCTGGTCAAGAGATTGTGTTCCATCGCCTGATTCTTGGTTGCCACAGGAGGATGCTATATTATGTGCAGTTGTGCATGAATATGGCCCACATTGGAGTTTGGTTAGTGAAACACTCTACAGCATGACTGCTGGTGGCTTTTACAGAGGAAGATATCGCCATCCAGTTCATTGTTGTGAGAGGTTCAGGGAACTAATTCAAAGACATATTTTGGCTGCGCCAGACAGTTTGGTTAATGAAAAGATCGGCAATGCAGTCTCTGGAAAAGCTCTTCTCAAAGTAACTGAGGTAAGCTTTCTTTTTCCAAATGTTGGTGAAAAGAGGACAAAAGAAACAGAAATAGGGAAACAATTGATGTGAATGCTAATTCGTTGGTCTGACTTGTAAAATTTTAAAGATCTCCTGATATAAGGTTCCCTACCCACTTGCAAGCAACAATAGGAACTTGACTGTAGTGACTCTGACAAAAAGCTTAGAACTTTTTTTGTCAGCTTGACAATAGTTCATCTAGTGGAAGACAATTAGGGTTGGTAAAAAAACAAAAAACACTTTTGGTGACTGCTTAGGCTTGTTTTCATTCAAATGAGAGGTAAAGCCTGGTGTCTTGACTAAGGAGGGCTTCAATGCTATGAGCAAGCATTTAAAATTGATTTGCTTCACTCTCTTTAGCTGCCTATTTAAGTCCTTTTAACAAAATTTGTGGATGGTTCTATATTCTAAATAAGACTATTAAAATTTTAAATTTTCTTTCTGCCATATCATTTTCAGCATTGTATCCTTAATAAGTGTTTTCATTCTTGTTTCTGCTGTTTCATGTCACGCATTCATCCTTAATATTCTCCTTTGAGCAATATTAATTGTTTGAATATTTTATTTCCCAAAGAAGAAGTCCCCAATTTAATTGTAGTTACGTTTCTCCACTCTCCTCCGATTGCTTTTATGAGTATCCTAACAAATTTTGTCATTATATCTCTTGATTCTCTGCTGTGTGCTTTTAGTCTTATCTTATGTAGGCTAAAACATGTGGAAGTCAATCTACTTTATTGTTCCCCATTACTAGGTTGAGCCTTGTCTGCCAAGACTATTATAATTCACATATAATATGAACGTAGTGGAGATGAGGATGCTTAGATGGATGCATGATAAGACTAGAAGAGACAAAATCAGAAATGAAGAGATTCGAGAAAAATTAGGGGTAGTCTGAATTGAAGAGAAGATGAGAGAGAGCCGTTTGCGATGGTTTGAACATGTGAAACGTAGGCCTAGCTGTGCACCGGTTAGGAGAATTGAATCTCTAGATCTAGGAGAGATCAAAACATCTAAAGGTAGACCACGAAAGATATGGATGTAAATAATAAAAAATGATATGATGGTTAAGGAATTAGATGAAAAGTTGTTTGTGATAGAAATGAGTGACACGAGAAGATTCAAACTACAACCTAACTTGATTCTTTTATTTGGTTTTTTATACAGCCGACGTCAAAGTATGGGATACGTGGCTTGGTATGTTGTTGTTATTTGTATTTTTTTGGGGAATGGAAGGGGTGGGGGGGTGAGTACTTAGAGCATGTTTATTGTGGTTCCCACCACCCAGGTTCTTTTGTAAAACAAATTCTGAGTCACCACACTTGTCTCCAACCCCCTCTCTTTTGTCCCCTATTTACCAGAGTTTCAAGGTTGATGTTCTAGAAATTAGTCTTATGAATTTACTGTTTTGTTTACGTGCATGCTGTGATGGTGACCTAGCATGTAACCATAAATACTAATTGTGACCATAAATATTAATTATGATTGCTGAAGTGACTTTTTATGATAGTCAATGAAAAAAGAAGCCTTATCCAACAATAATATACCATGGCAGGAAAACATTCGAATGCTGTTAAACTTTGCTGCTGTGCAGCCAGATCATGAGTTACTTCTTCAAAAGCACTTTACTGCCTTACTTTCATCTGTGTGGCGGGTGATGTGTCGCCCTGAGTGTCGACAAAAGGTCTCATCATCTCGGAATGGTGTTCATTTAGGGGGAAGGTTTCTCAGTCCTTTTCTCAGCCACACACCTCAAGATTCTGTAAAGGAACCAGCACAGAGGATGAAATTTACAAATTTGCGGGAGTGTAGCAAGTTGTTATTAGCTGCACTCCATGATGCAAGCAATAGACAAAGGAGTGACGCAATTTTCTTCTCTGATAGAGAGGATTTGCCAGTGATCGCAGAAAGTTTAGAGATAACACTGGAAATTCAGAGGGAGAGTGGTGATTCTATGATTCCATTCCCACCGGTAATAAATTTATCAATATATGGCTCAAATCCTGTTACATCCATAAACAAGACTACTGGAGAAGACCTCCATCTAAAAGCTTCAAACGTTGTAGCTGAGAACCGCTTCAGGTATACTTGTTTTAGATACAAATTAAGTACCATAGTTGGTAGTGAATTATTAGCTAGGCATTATCGTTAGTCTGAAAGAGGCATTTTCCTTGTGAATCTCTTGCATGCTAGTTCAGATTATAGCTGTAACTGTTAGGCCTTTAATAGATTCCAAAATTAGATTCAGGTCATTGTTTTGGGAGGCATGCTGTTTTACGTTGGTTGAATTGCTCATGACCATAATTATATATTGTTTTACATTTGTGTGTACTGGGGACTATGTTCTGTTGATGGCTAACCGAGCAGAGTTATATTTTTCTCAGGGCAGCAGCTACGGCTTGTGTTGCAGGTGGTCTGGGTTGGGCTTCATCTGCCTTCCCAGCTAATGATTCCAAGTCACGATCAGGGTTGAAATTGCAGTCTTCGGGGAAGCACAAGCTGTCTGTCTCTGACACAATCAGACCTAAGTCAAAACTGAAGAAGGCTTCAATGGAGCATGGTGATGTACACAGCTTATTTGGAGAGCAAGTATTTCAACCGGTGGCAACAATTGCACCAAATGATCCAAACTTAAGATGTGACCTGACATCAGTGACTGATGACAGCAGTTGGGCTGATGGTGTGGATAGTGATTTCTGTGCAAGCATGGACAAGGCCCTTTCACCGCAATTAGAGTGTTTTGATGTGGTTCCACATAATTATATCCCTGGCTTTATTGGAGGCCTTGATGATTGTTCAACGCTCCCAGACTATACTGACATTGGATAGGGGCTAAACTGCTTGATATTCTTGATTGAAGCTATTATGATCGATGGAGAAAAGGTTATTCTTTGAGCAAAGCCAGATCCTCCAGCGTTTTTGCAGTGAGCTCCGCTCGGGGTACCTTGTGAATTGGACACACCATTTTTGGATGCCAGCTATTTGAGGGGTAAGAGGCTAGACATATTTGCTGTTCAAACTCAAATTAAAACTTTTCTTTTATCAAAGAGAGTAAGTTGGCAGAGCGAAGTGAAGGACGTGCAATTTTGAACACTTACATGATGAAAAATTTTCTTCCTTGAGGAGTGTCTCAAGCGGCCCTGCTAGAGGATCTGGTGAACTGAACATAAAAAAAGAAAAAAAAATGTAGCATCTAATTTTGTAACTATTTTTTAGCAGTAATTTCAGATTTTGGAACATTTCCTCTTAGAAATGTGTACGAAAGGTAAGGCAGTAATTCGAAAAATGGGAAGGTTATCTGCAGTTTCACGCAAATGTCTTGGATTAATATTGAAATTTATAACTCCACTGAGCTTTTTATGTCAGTGGATCTAATTTACATTCATTTTTAAACAGTTGCAGTCTTATCATCATATATATTTTTTTAATTTTAAAAAATATCAAAAATTAAAATATTTTATAGAATTAAAAATTTTTTATTTATTTATTTTACATTAGAATTGTTCACGGATAAGATAAGAAAACATAAAACTCGTTCACATTTTTAATTTAGGTTTGAAATAGCCTTTGCATTTGCAGCAAGGTTATTATTAAAATATTTTTTTATATTTTTAAATAATTTTCAATTACAATTTTAATTAAAATAAAATTTATTTTAATATAAAATATTTTTTTATTAAATATTAAATTTAAACTTAAAATATTATGCTCAAGGTTCATATCAAGTCAAAAATAAGCCCACGGCCGAGTGAGAAGCATGTTTTTTCTTACACGACACTGTTGATATTATTTAATCAAATTAAAAAGTATTGGTTGAAGTTGCACCTATTCAAAGACTAGCAGCCGATTTGAAATTTTTTTCCTTTTTTTTTTTTCGTTTACTAAATTGGTTTCGTTACATTTATTAGATTTATTTGGGTTTGGGTGCCTATAAGTTAGTTATATACAAGTTCTAGTACTCGATGTATTCTGTATATTATCATCAAGTGTAAATATTAAAACAGATTTTTTTTTTGCCTTAAAGAGTATTAAAATTTATTTCTGAAAAATTGAGATATTATTAAAATTAAAGATAAAAAATAGGAATATTATGATGTTATATTAATAAAGTGTGAGAATATATTATTTAGATTCTTACTTAGATAGTTAAAATTAAATTTAAAACTATTAACTTACAAACTAATATTATAATCTTTAAATTTTTTATTTAATATATTATTATCTTTAATATAGGCTATAAGATACAAACAAAATAAATATTTCAAATTCAACCCTTCTATGGTGATGGATTAATTAATCATTATATACTATAAGATAATAATTTGATTAAATTCATTAATTAATCATCGTGATCTAAACTGTATGATAATTCAAAAAGTGTATATGTACATATAATATTTATAAATTAAGAGATGTTTTGCATTCAAAAGATTATTATATTGTTATTTTATATTCTATAGCCAATTGGATTAACTATAGACATTATGATATATTATGCATTAACTTTATATATATTAGCATGAAAGGCCACTCGATGCTATGAGTTTGTTTTAGTGATGAAAAAAAAGTTGTTTGCCATGAAAAATGGTAGAAAATATAGTAATTTAAAGCTAAAGTTCTAACATAGTTTGAAAAAAACATAAGATTAATAGAAAACATCTAAAATAGTTTTAAAAAAACAAAGGATAAAAGATAATGTCAAAGTTACAGCATGGTAACAAAAAACTTTATTCATAGTTAGGATAGATGATCACTTGAAAGTATTGTGTGCGATCATAGCAAAGAGATAATAATTGTTGACCTTCAAGTGATTATCAATAACAAATTTCTTCCATCCTCCTAAAAATGACTTGTTTCAAGCATTGTAACTTATTGTCTATGATTTGTTTTTTTTCAGTTATTAATAGGGTGATAAAAGCATGATGGTTTGGGAGATGCTTGTAGAAATAACTCAGAATATGCTATAGAAACAATACGATAAAAAGTTGTTAACAAAAATTTTGAATGTATGGTTCGCTTGATTTTATTTATGATTAAAACTATATGATAATATATGGTAATAGTCTATGCATAATTTTTTACCAGGATGGGATAAGTATTGACATTTATACTGGTTATCAAACAATGACAAATAGAAGCATCACAATCATTGTCATTTTCATTTTTCAAAGCTCCTGCATAATAAGATTGAGTATTACAAGTAAAGCTATAGGTTGTCTAATTTTTATAATCTTCTTTTATTGAAACGGTAGAAAATACAATATGTATAATTTAAGTGTATTGAAACTAAATGTAATGTATGTGAGATGAAAATCTTACTTTTTGTTTTTTGTAGGTGATTTGATCTTACCATAATGGTTGATTTAGGATGTAAAAAAGCTTTAAAATTCATATCATTGTTGTATGTGAAAATTAATATATCTTGGGTTTTAAAATTATGTGCTTTAACAATTTTTTTCCATCCATTTTGGAAGCTTAATTAACCATCAATTTCTATCAACTCCATTTTGAATGAATTTGGAAAAAAACTGTTAATGTGCATAGATATTGGAATTGGAACGGTTACAATGTTGTTTTGAACAAAACTTTCTAAAAGTTTCAATAATAGTATTTGATTTTCAAAATACAGATGAAAAAATATAGTAAAGATAATTGGTTTATGATTTTATTAAAATTTAAATATCTATAAGTAGTTAAGATTATAGATTCTATAATGACAATATTTATAAAATTTAATGAATTAGTAATAATAGTCTAATAATATATAAAAGTGACATTGAAATTATAAAAATTATAAAATGTAAAATGATTTATTTTTAGAAAGAAATTGGAATGATGGCAAAATAAGTAGGTTGGTATTGGTTCAAATAATGCTAGATTTAAATCGATGCATCTTATGTTAGTAATGTCATTGTAGTTTTGTTAGGTTTTGAAATTCATAGTATTAGTCAAGTAATTTTTTTGTCAAAAAATATAGAACATAAATGATTATACTTGATATTATCTTACTAAGATAAAACTTAAATTAATATACCATAAATTCATTGAGATTACTAAGTTAAAACCTTATATTTTCGAATAGAACAAAGTTGGTTTGCAAATTTAGTTATAGGTTGTTTAGTGTTTTATCAATATTATTCTTGATATTATCTTACTAAGATAATATACCCTAAATTCATTCAAATTACTAAGATAAAGTCTTATTTTCAATAGAATAAAGTTGTTTGTGAGTTTAGTTATAAGGAAGATTAGAGATAAATATCAAGAAATACAATTTTAAATTCTAAATCAAAAGTAAAAGGGGAAAAATAGAAGAAAAACAAGTTGTGAATATATTTTCAAGAAATCAAATTATTAAAATAGGTGAAAACAAATGAAATATAAAGAAATTAAGTTGGGTTTGAAAGATTTTTATCAGAGAATCTTGAATAATATTTTCATGCTCCAAAACTATGATAAATAGTTAAAATTTATTAAGATTTGTAGCATTTTCAATTTGAGAATAGTCGTGGTTGGACATTTTTTTTTTCTACGGATAATGAGTATTTAATAGAAAGGAATTAGATTGTTTGGGATTTGAGAGAGAAATTTCATACATTTTGAGTAGATTTGATGTTAAAGACGTTGGTACTTTGATTGTTTTGGGTTTATCGAGTTAATATAGTATTTAATATTTGTTTTAAATTAGTTGAAAAGATTGATCGTATGTTGTATAGCATGTAATGACGTGTATTTATTAAATAAAGTAACTTTTTATTTTTTTTACACAAGTTTATATTGAAATTATAATGTATTGATGAAGAGTAGGTATAACATATATATATGTACAGAAGGAGTTGATTTTGTGTTTGTTGTAGATGATTTTGGAAATATTTTTTTTATAATAATGAAAGTAAAGAATATGAATGGAAAATAAAAAAATAGTAATGGTTGTATCAAGTAGGAAAAAAGCAAAAAGAAAAATAACGTAATAAAAGGTATAACATCATAATATAAAAAAAATAGTCGTTTTATTTGAAATTAGAATAAAGTAAAAAAAAATATTTATTTGTTAGGATTAATTATTACTTCAAAAGCATTTTTTTCCATCATAGTAAAAAGACAATAATCACTCGCTTTTACGTGATTATCAATTGTGAATTCTTTCCATCATATAGTGAAAGATTTGCTTTTGGTATTGTAATGTATAAGTCAAGATTTACTTTTTTCAAGTATCAACAAAATGATATGTGTGTTTTTCCTACATCTATTTGTAAAAATATGCTAAAATATGTTGTATCATAATAATATTGAAGAATTGTTAATATATTTTGTCTAATTTCATAAATTAATTTATATATATATAAATTATAGTTTATAAATAATTTATTACTATGATGTAATGTGATTTGGTAGTTTACTTGATTAGTAAACAGTGAAACATAAGTGTTTTGTTATCTTTGTCATTCTCATCTTGTGTTCTTTTAGGTTGATATGATTGAGTATGATAATTTGATTTAGAACTTGAAAATTCAATATTTACAATTTCTCTTGCAGTTAGTATATTATTACTTGAAGAGTTTGCTTAATTTGTTGAATCTTCTTTAGATGAAATATGAAAAAATACAATGACTCTGATTTCATGAGTTAAAAAATAAATAAAATAGAAGTAGAATGAAGATATTACATTGTGTTGGTTCAATGTGGTCTATCATTATATTACTTTTTATCTAAAGGTGTAAAAAAACTTCGAAAATCATATTGTTATTATATGTAAATGTTAATATATCTTCGTATTTAAGATGATGTGTATGTACAAATTTCTTCCATCCATTTTGAAAATATAATTAGTTATCAATTGTTGTTAACTCTATTTTAAAGAAATTGGATTAAAAACCTTTGATACTCAAAAGTTTTAGAGTTTTGATATTTAACATATATATTTGAGCAAAATCTTCTGGGATTTTTTATAATAAAAAATTTTTGTTAGTTTTTGAATGTAATTTATTTAAAATGTATTCTATTACAAAAAGTAATTTGTAGAAATGTTTTATTTCATAAATGTTTTGGTTTTTTTTTGTAAAAATGTATTCTTAAAAATATTTGTCAATAATAAAATGAATGATATTATCATTATAGAATCTATAATTTTGGTAGAGAACATGAAAAATCGATGAAAAATAAATGATAAAAATATAATACAACTTAGTTATGTTTAAAGCTTTTTTATCACAAAATCCTAGATAATACCTTCATGAAGCAAAGCTAAGACAAAACATAGAGGATTGTTGAGGTTTATCACATTTTCAGTTGAAGGGTAATTGTGACAATACATTTTTTTTAGTAAGATAAACATCTATATATAATTTTTTTTAGCAAAATAGTGCAATGTTTTGTATGGTTAAAGTT